GCTGCTTGCGTGGTGTCCGAACCTGAGGATCTTCCCACCGCTCCGCCTTTTTCAGCAGATTGGTCCAGCCCGATATGTGGCTTGTTCGATCTTCTCCTCGAGTCTTCGCGTCTGGGCTTTCAGACTTGGGTCTATCATCATATGTATGGAGCACAGGTGGCTTTGTTGATGATGTCCCACCTGTGTGCTTTGTCTCGGCTGCAGTGTGAAGTTTCCTTGCGGTCCTTCTGTTATTTCTTATCTCTGCATAGGTGTACTCCTGTCTTGGATAGGGTTGTCTTGTCCTTCCTTTCGTGGTTGTTCCAGGACTCATCTTATGCCAGACACTGTCGCCTTGTATTGTGTGGCACTGGCGGAGCCACTGCAGCTTGCATTCGGTATTGATGTTACTTCTACTCCATTCTGCAAGCTGTCTCGTGTGTTGTTTCACCTCTGTCCTGCTCATGTGCCGCCTGAACCATCCTGGTCGTTGGACTGGGTGCTCTCCTTTCTCTCTCTCCTCAGTTTGTGGTGGCCTCTTTGGTTCAGGATTGTTTTTCTAAAGCTTTTTTCTGTTGGCATTGGCCTCTTGGGGGTCGGGTCGGGGAGCTTCATGCTCTCCTCCGGCGCAGGGGTTTCTGTACTTAGGTCCTGGTGGTAGGTTTGTTCGTTTGCAGCCGTCTCCTTTCTGGCAAAGAATGTGAGTCTGTTGCTGTCTGGAGGGGGTCCTTGGGTGGTTGTTGTATGATTGGTTAGGCTGGGATTGCATAATGTGTTGTGTTCAGTTGCGGCTCTTCTCCATTATCTGCACGCCATGGCTTCGGTGGACAGGGACATGCTTTGGGTTGACCCAGTTTCCCTTCCCTGTTCCAGGGCTTAGGTCCCTCAGGGTTATTCGGTTCAGCCAGCCTACAGTTTATCCTTGTGCCCACGTCGTTCGTAAGTTTGCTGCATTGGCTGTCGTCTTCGTTAACATGTCTTGGGCTGACATTCGGGCACAGAGATTTTGGAGGTCGAACAGGGTCCTGGCCGCTCACTACCTTGTTAATGTTCCTGGGGCTCAGTCGAGCTTGTGTCGCAGTTGTCTCGACTTCGAGTTGAGGAGCGAGAGTCGACTGCCTCCCGGGTAAGTCCCTATTGATTAGTTTGTCTTTGGGTAAGTAGCTCTGGGGAGCATTAGGTCCCCCCCCCCTTCCCGGCAAGCCAGCATTGAATATAATGAAACGGCATTTTCTGGGTGAGATCCGGAGGCTCCCCCGGCAACCCTCCCTCCCTCCCTCTGGTCGACATTTGTTTCGTGTGTTTTGACGTTCATCCTCAGAATTGGGGTGTGGCTAGCTAGCACGAGGGTCTGGGGCTCCCTCTTCCCCCATCCCAGGAAAGGGGGATTTGCACAGACAGCGACGTGGTGACATCATGCTCGTTTTCATTTGGGGAGTTCTGTCCATTAGTTCGGCTTTCAGTAGCAATGTTAACTCAAATAGGGGGTTTGTTTTGGGGAGCTTACCCTTCTGGGTGCCTGACCTGGTCAATGGCAGACATAGAATGCTTCCAACCACACGGGAGGGGTTTCTATACGCCACTTCTCCTCGTGCCTCTCTGAGGGGGGCCAGGTTCTGGCTCATTGACCCCAGTAGGCCTAGAACTCTGCACATTGACTGATGCCAAAGCCTAATATATCCATATCAGTCTGGATAGCTCTGGGGAGCCTCCGGGTCTCACCCAGAAAATGGCATTTCATTACATTCAACGCTGTTTTTTTGTTCTTCTTCTGGTGACAGTCTACTTTCCAGAACCTTCCCTAGATCTCTGTTAATACTTTAATTCCATTCCTCATAATTTTTAGGTTGTGTGTAGTCTATTTTCTCATATTCCACATTCCATAACATGGTATTTATTCACATTGAAGTCTATTTGCCACATGGTGCTCTAAGCACTTTATTTTATCAAGGCCAATTTGAAGGGCATGACAATCGTCAAGGTCTCTCTCTTCCCTAGTAGCTTGGCATCATCATCAAATTTGTTCATATAATTATGTATTCCATCTGGTAGATCATTTATGTCGACGATGAACATTACTGGTGCAAGAACTTAACCCTGGGGAATTGGCATTGTCTCTGATAACCTCATATTGCTCAAACACACTTTGGAAATGTTCATTTTTTGTGGACATTTCTTTTTCATTCTCTGTGAATCTGTTCCCCATTCTCAATCTCTAGATTTTATTCTTTATATGCAGTTTTCTTTTAATGAACTTACAGAAAAGGCCTGGATCTGGACTACACTCAGTGTTGGCAAATCTATCGGCAAAACTATCTTTGCTGATAGATTTAGGAGGAGATTTTAGAGATTCCTGTTGTTGCTCAATTACTATCTGTTGTGTTTTATTTGTTTGTCTGGATCTATGCTCATAATTTATTTATTAATACCCCTCTAACACTGTTAGTGGAATGTTGTTGCACAATAACAGCCCCATTCTTACCTGGAGAAATTGTTGATCTGGAGAATGTGCAAAGGTCTTTGATGCTAGAATCTGTTCAGTAAAACATCTGGATCATGGGGACTGCTTAACATTTAAAAATGTGTGTTCCTTTGAGTGTAGGTTGGAGGGAGGCATTATAACTTATATTTGGTAAATATTAGCGACTGATTCCAAATTTGCACACGGAAATAACACTTCATGAGACCAGAAGGCATGACAGGAAATGCAAAATAACCCTGTTGAAAAGCAGAGGCTTGCTGAGAATGAACGTAACAAACTCCCAAGACTTTTCATCACTCTTCTTCTAAACATAAGGGACGTAATTGGCCAACATCTCACTGTGTTTAAAAGAACTTAATAAGCACTTCAAAGGGTATCTGATCAACCTGGTTGTGATTCACGAGGTTCATATCCGCATCCAACAGTCAGGTTGACCAGACCACCAACCAGGAAGCCTGGTAAGACCAAGCCATTGAGATGTTGGTCCTCAGAACTAGTGCAAGATAACACCTAAGCATGAGATGGTATCATGTAAAACTTGGATTGGTACTTTCCAACTATTAAATAAGTCTGGTAAAATTTCTGGTTCAGATATTTTGAAATTCATGGTAGTTCAGTGGGTAGTACGAGTGTCTGGGTTGTCCAAGGACTCTAATCTGATCCATCATTTTCATTGCCTCAACAGTTTTCTCATAGAATAGATACATCATGTTACTTTGAATCATTGTGAAATATAAGAAATGTCACTATGAATAGAAACTTTAAAGAAGAAACTTTATTAATTTCTGCTGCAATTACCGAATCAGTCTGGCTCTGTGACTTTGTGAGCTATGGAAATGAACAGTGTTATAGATGAGGGGAAAGACTGCACCCAGGCTGCAATAGAACTATGAAAGTCAATAGGTAACAGGTGTTATGACTGTTCCAGATTACATCTTCATACAGAAGATTAGGAGGATATTAGATCTGTTTCAGGCTCTAGTCTGATCTTCATGTGTGGAGTTTCTAGGGTGGATCTGTCACTGCTTGTATGGAGTGGATGGTATAGTTTCTTTAGTTTATGGGTTCTCTTGATGTCAGTATGAGGTGGCATAGTGGTCACTTCACTGTTAGTCTCTCTGTGACGGTGGTTGTTATTCTCAATGTGGTTAATCACGGCATGATCACTTGTGCTTAACAGCTTAGGGTCCTTTATATGATGGCACTCCAATTTGGCTTTCGCATTAACATATTGGGTTCACCCTTTTCTAACTTAAGTACAGCCTTCTTTAACATTCTCCCTTCACATATGTGTGGGTTGAGCATGCCTGATTTTGATAAGCTCTTCGGATTTTTATCTGAAAAGATTCCTGTTTTTCTGTTTATTACAGACTTGATTTTCAAGGCTTTGTTCCATCTCATTCTTGCTACAGGTAATAAATTTACAAGCTTCATTTTTTTTTTTTTTTTTTTAGACTTTTATATTCTATTGTCATGGAGATGCATTTGTGCTGCATCATTGAAACCTTAGTTTACTAGTTAAAAATTAAATCAGATTACACAACCTCCCTTTCAGAGGCAAAAAGTGAGCCTGGAGAACTAAGATCACAGTACTAATATATAGTCTTAGTAGATAATGAATAAGTGCTCTAAAAGACACGAGTGTGTGGAAAAATTTGTAGTCATTACTGTGGCAAATTTACTGGCAGAAGATAGCTGCCCAGTTTACCTGTGACCTCAGTCAAGCCATTCACTAGCCTTGTGCAACCAGGGATGCTCTTCTGTATTGGGCCCTCTTTCATCTTTCCCCTTTAAAATAGGTGGTTAGTTATTGGAACAATGGTTCCATGCTGAGCCTTTGCTTGCATTTTGTTCCAAATTTTACTTCATACATGTTCTGTACCACCCCACCTTTTATATGCCGTGTTGAGAGTTTGCTCTGGCTGTTGTAACCAGGTATGTTTAGAGACTGGGTCATCGGGAATATTAATTTCCAGGACCACCTCCTCAAGGTAGGGCATTCTGCCATTTTCTTAAGTAAAGAAATAATACACCTGGCAAATTCTGTAAGTGCACAATATCAGCCATATATGTATGCTTAACCATTTCAATTTGAATTTACAAACTAGTGATTTAGCCGCTGAGTTAGTAAAGTCCTTCAAAATACCTTCAAGGTTAAGCAAGGTACTGGTTTCCTTAATTGTCACTTGCAAAAATGACTGTTGGAATAAAAATAGGCCAGTGTGACTGGCAGTCAGGTATATTGGCATTGTCTATACTAGAATGCCAGACCAAATGCTTCGGAAGTGGCTTAAGAAAATAAACAAATAGCATAAATAATGGAATGAAGTTGAAAACTCCTCATTGTATTGAGTAATAATTGTAAGGTGTGAAAATGTATGTGCATAATAGAGCTCAATCCATATACAGTATAAACTCTTACAATTGTAAATGTAGAAATGTTCATTTTATTTCTGCCACTAATTGTGTTTTGACAGTTCATAATATTTGTTATACAATATTCGCGACATTGAAACTATTTTCTTTTGTGACCCAACAGACTCTTCATACCCAGCAAACAGCTCAATCACAAATTCATCACCAACAGCAACAACAACAACAGCAACAAAGTAATGCGCAAGTTATAAGCAATACCCCTCCAAAAAGTCTTATTACCACTCCTATTTTGGATCACAGTGGTGCGCGGAAAAGACACGACTTCGATTTTGATTATGGAGTGGAAAGGTATGCATGAGAATTTTTATCATTTGAGGATGGATGTAAAGTTTGTTTTGTCATATATTGTATATTGAGGATTTTTTCTTTTATTGGAGAGCAAATGAGGAGCTTGGAAGAAAAATATGACAAATTTAAAAAAACAGTAGAGTACTGTAGTTGCATATTCTACCGTGACATGTGATCGCAGTAGGAATTAATTCTGTGTACAGACTTTAAAAATGGTCTCTAATATTTTCCAAATGTAGAATATATAATTCTTGTGCAAGCATTTCATGGAATGCAATAAAAAAGTTTTCTTAGCATTCTCAATAATATAGGTATTGATTAGCTTTTGGTAGTGTGATATGCATATTCTGCAGGTAAGCAGTTTTTCTACCGTACTTAACACTTCAAAATTTGATGACATTATGGCATCATTAAACTCATTACCAGGGCCTGAAGATAACTAGGAACACTTGCCAGGAGAACAGATACTTGTGTGCATCCAAAAATATGGCATTGAAGGACATCTGCGACATACTGTATGAACAAGCATGCATGTCCCCTAGTGCACTCCACACAGTCAATTTGGATGCCTGCAGCCTAGGGCCTAGCACTCCACCCCAGTGGAAAAGCCTCTTGAGTGGCAAACTCTCAAACACACCAGAGAAGTAACTATCAGTGCATGGCCAACACTAGACAACAAGTTAATGTCATAAGATCAAGGAACTGACAACTCATCACATTCATCTATCAACCTGGGACAAGACGACGGTCAACAATACATCCCATTGGGACTGCCTTCCAGTCTCGTACAATAAGTACCTCTACGTAAGGTTTGAGCATACAATATAAATATATTCATATAATATGTTGTGCTTTATTAGATATTTGAAGGTTATAAGATTTACATTGGTTAATACAATGAGTGCTTAAAAGTTATGGATCTCTTGGAGCTCTTCTGCTTCCGGACAGGAACCGAGGAATCGGCAGGCATTTTCCCTCTTGATCGTTATACTGAGGCACAGAAAGCAGTACTGAGGCTCGGTACCACTCAGAGGTACTGAGCGTCTCAGATGCTATGAGAACAAAGATGTGTTGACCTTCCCGTTGCCTGTATTTGATCGATTTTACTGTTTCCCTGTGGTTGCTCTCCCCTCACCTGCTTGATCAGCACCAAAGTGTATGTAGGTGTCAGTTAGTGGTGGATACACATGTGTAGTCCCAGACCACCTGTTTGTCCCTCTTCCAGGGATATATTGTGATGCCGCAAAGGCAAAGTGCAGGACCATCCGAGTTTTGGACCACTAGGATGCGAGATTCTCTCTCTGCTGGGCACTGAGTTGAGGCAAGGCTCCTGTTGGTGATGTCATTAACCTCAATGTGTCTTGCATGCCAGCCCTTGGAGCTCCTACATTGCAGTCCATATTAGTCTGCTACCACCCATTTGCAAATATATTCGTATTCAGTATGAATTGGGGTACCAAGGTGGAGGACCACTGCTACGCGAAGGGATTCTGGATCTAGGAGCGTACCTGTTGCTGACATGGGTACTGCCAGAAGAAAGTCCCCTGCTTGGTGGGCACGCACTGCTCTGAGGCAAGCTTTCTCCTTATCTGATGTTGCAGTGCTGAGCATGGCATCAGCTATTTTTCCTACTATTGGGCTGTTCCAGCTAGACTTTATTATTATTATTATTTATTATTATTATTATTATTATTTATTATTATTATTATTCCTATTATTATTATTATTATTATTATTATTATTATTATTATTATTATTATTATTATTATTAATATCTGTTGGGTGCTGGAGCTGCATGATTTGAATATTCACTAAAAGCAGGATCATGTGTCCCTGCTGAATCACTTTTAGATTCTGGTAGGATATCTCTTACAAGGTAGTTCGATGCATGGGAGGAGGAAAGGATGGCTGGTTAGGCAATCTTGGAGGCTGTGCAAACACCAAGGCCACCTTGGTGTTTGCACAATGTAAATCTTACAGGGGAGGGTTGCTTGCTTCCATTGAGAGTTTTCCAACAGGAGATTCAGAACTTTCTCTAGCATGGACTTAGATTGGTGTCATACACGTTAAATTTAGAGCTGCTGTAGGATGGAGAAAACCTCAGAAAGTAAATCATCTTAGGAAGAGATAGGCATCTTGTGTAGAGGAAGAGAGCATCATAGGCATCAATTTTGTCAATCCTGTCCTGCATCCTTATTAGCTCAGTGATTTTATGCATCCAGGACATCCACAGTTGCTTGCAGGCCAATGGGGGCACCAAGTAGGGTGGAGTCAGGTGGCTCGACAGTGAGAATGTCTGGAAGAACAGTTTTTATTTGGCCAGTATTGTCTGGGTTGTGGAAGACTATTTTGCAAACAGAGTGGTAGATGGTTGGAACAAGTTAGGTGAGGTGGTGGTGGAGGCCAAAACCGTCAGTAATTTCAAAGCATTATATAACAGTGTGCGGGGTAGATGGGACACCATGAGCATAGCTCTCATCCTGTAACTACACTTAGGTAATTACACACACTCACATACAGGGATGGAGATATATGTATGTATGTTGTACCTAGTAGCCAGAACGTCGTACTCGGCCTGCTATGCAAGGCCCGATTTGCCTAATAAGCCAAGTTTTCCTGAATTAATATATTTTCTCTAATTTTTTTCTTATGAAATGATAAAGCTACCCATCTCATTATGTATGAGGTCAATTTTTTTTTATTGGAGTTAAAATTAACGTAGATATATGACCGAACCTATATGACAAAGAGTGTTGGGAAGACGGGACACCACGAGCGCAGCTCTCATCCTGCAACTACACTTAGGTAATTACACTTAGTTAATTACACACACACACACACACACACACACACACACACACACACACACACACACACACACACACACACACACACACATACACACACACATACACAGACATATATACACATAATAGTATTTTTAATTTTAGGTAATAACATTTCACGGTATTAATTGAGAGTTTGTTCAATTTAGAATGAAAATACCTGCAATTTATTAAAAAAGTGGTGTTCTATCCCTTTACATATATTTTTGAATGTGCAAATCTGTATTTTGTACCTTTTGTTTCCATACTTGCATATTTCCTTTGTATAATATCTATAAAATTTTGCACTTGAGGTGTTTTGTGTGTGGCAGCCTCTTTGCTGGTACAGTATTTGTATTTTGATGTTTTCTGTTTTCTTCAGTGGTTTCTTTCTGTGGAATTAGTCCTAAATACACCAGCTTATGGGTATTACTGATATTTAGTCCTTCTTAGAATGTAATTCTATTACTCGTTACACCATTGTATTCATATACAGTACCGAGATGTGCAAATCCATGTTCTGTACTCCTTTCTTACCCAAGTGCAATTGACACACATCTAATGTATATTTTCATTGATCTTGAAAATATATATATAGTCTTTCCTTTTCAGTAAACGACGGAAGAGCGAAAAAGGTGGTAAAGGCCTTCGTCACTTCTCCATGAAGGTTTGTGAGAAAGTTAAAGCAAAGGGCACAACATCATACAACGAAGTAGCTGATGAACTTGTATCAGAGTTTACAGACCCTACCCGGTGTGCATCACCCTCTGATGGTGCCAATGTGAGTTATAATTTGTACAAATATATTAATTGGGGATATAATGGAGCCAACAATGTTAGGCAATAAATATCCACCATATTTTGGGAGTTATCTCCCTGTTACTTTCTAAGGTAAAATCGTAATGACCTGGCTTTGATCTAGTGCTGTCAAGGCAGGTCAACATTCAGCACCAGTAGCATAGCTGGGTATCTTAAAATGGTATTAGGAACATACTGGAGAATAATAAATCCAGCCCAGAATGTAGTCAGGAAAGTAATTTACATAAATTCAAGCATTTCCAGGTGCAGCATGGCACCAGAGAGAGAGAGGCAAGCCATGCCCATGCTATCTACTGAACAACCCACTGAGTTACTTCCCCTGACTATGACCAGGTGGCAGCAGCAATACAACATGGAAGCCCTTCAGCCTAAACCACCCATATTCTATCTGTGGTTGTAGAGACCAGTGCAGTACTTGCCTTTAAATGGTTTTTACTTATGTCTAGGCACTTAATTTTGGTTGTGCAGTGGGCTTATGTAATGGTAGTGAATACTTCAATTATGTGTCGATAATTCTTTGTGTGTAATTACCTATGTGTAGTTACATTATGAGAGCTATGCTCGTGGTGTCATGTCTTACCTGCACTCTTTTATAATGCTTTGAATCTACTGACAATTTTGGTCTACATCACCCGTTCTTAATACTTAACCTGTTACAACCGTCTAGCACCGTTTGCAAAACAGAATTTTCTTATATTTCTTTGGGGGCTTTGTTTAGTTAATTTAAATCTGACGCCTTGTTCTTGAAGTCTCAGGTCTCGGAAATTCTTCTCTATCAATTTTGTTGATCCTGTTACAGTTTTGTATGTATATTGCTACTTTTTCTTCTATCTTCTTGTTTTGGCATATTGAATGCCTTTAACCTCTCGTTGTAGTCTTGTCTTTCAGTTTTGAGAGCCATTTAGTTGCATGTCTTTGCACCTTTTCCAGTTTGGTGATGTGCATTATGGGCACATAGTATATAGTTGTATATGGCCACTATACAACTGCTGCATATTCCAGCTATGGTCCCACAAAGGTCGTGAATAATTTCTTCAGTATTCACTATTCATGTATTTAACCCTTAAACAACAGCTATGGAAAAAAGGTCATATCTGCCTATGGACAAAAAAAAAATTCCAAACAATAAGTTGTCATTATAGAATTATTAATTTGTATGCAAAATGTTTGAAAACACTAAATAAGTGAATATTTTTTGTTTCACTGGATGGAGGCACTCTGGAAGGCTGCGTGTGGCACTTGTCAATGTCTGGTGCTCCAATTTCTTGATGCTTCCTGTTTTATCCTTCAATGTTTCACTAATTGTTTTATCCCCCGTTTTTCTTTTTTACATCAACAGAGCTATTATATCCATAATTGCATCGCACATGTAAAACTCAGACAATAATTGCTTAAATCTTCATATAACTGCATTACCCTGTGAATCAACAATTGACAAAAGTTCACAGCCTATGGATTAAAAGCACTTGTGTAATTGGAAAGCATAGCATTGGCTCCTCACACAATGTTCTTCATGTGGTCCTCAGGTTGATAGTTTTCTTTCTAGAACCACCCATAGATCATTCTTTATCAGAATTTTGTAAAAAAATTTTTTTTACATAATTTGTAGGTTGTGTGGGGTTCCAATAATTAGTTCACTTGGTATGCTTCATTACAACCATAGTGTGTTGTGAAAACCATCTGTAAATAAATTGTAATACCAGTAATTACAATGACATTTTATACGATGGCAATTACCACTTTGACATAATAAGTCATTTATTATGAAACGATAGGATTTTTTCATGAGTCGCTCCTTCTATATACATAGAAGTATTTTATCCATATTAGTATGATGTATATAAAACCAAACAATATAATAATATCTAAAATTGACATTGAGGAACAAGATACAAGAGTTGTTACATTCTTGTACAGCCACTAGTATGCGTAGCATTTCGGTCAGATCCCTGGAATACGATCCCCGCCGCGAAGAATCGTTGTTATAACCAAGTACACATTTTACTGTTGCGTTAAACAGAGGCTTCAGTTAAGGATTTGCGCCCAGTAAATCCTCCCCGGCCAGGATACGAACCCATGACAAAGCGCTCGCGGAACGCCAGGCGAGTGTCTTACCACTACACCACGGAGACTGTGAACATACGATGCTAACCACACTTTACAGGTCATTATTTAATTAAATGGATTGGAAGTGACTGCTGAGATTGACCAGAAATACCTCCTCGAGTGTCCTAGTAAAATTAATGCATATATATAGCTTACATATTACTTATTGTATTGCAGGAAAGTGTTTTTGCCAATTTATATTAATCTGAGCTGTTAGATGAAGAGTAAATTACTGAACAATGTCTTAGGAGGGCCAGGTTATTTAAAGTTATTTGATAAATGCCATTAAATGACATCTTTGCACTGAGTACCTACAAGTATTACTTAAGGGGGGCCATTAGGTAGTTTTTTTTATATTGATCAATTTCAATCAAACTTTTTTGATGAGTTGTATATGAAAAGGGTTTCATCTGGTCCAAGTCTCAGCATCGTAGCATAAATAGGAAGGGAGAAAAAATATTGAATTAGGTGTCAAAAATTTTCCCAAATGGTCAAAAACGATTATCAAACACAAGTGTCAACTGAAATCATGTCTATGACTCTCAGCTATCACAATAGCATATATTAAAAATATATATATAATTAGTTTTATTAAAAAAATTAAGTTAAATTTTTTTTTTTTTTTTCATTTTTTTTTTTATTTGTTTATTGGACGATTTGCATGAAACTTACACACCTGACTGCACATAAGCCTATCTGTAAGGGTACCAATTTTGGAGGAAATTGGTTGATGTCATCCTCAGCCACAGATGGCAGCACCTTAGACTTTATTTTTTATTTATTTATTTCAAGTAACATAAACGTTCATATAACTCTTTCGTTTTTTATTCAATTTACATGAAACTTACACCTTATATGTAAAGTTTGTCATTAAAATATAAGGTAAGCATTTCTTCCAAAGTTCATTTATTGATTTTATAATAGCAATAAACATGTTACATTTGCTTGTTTTTTGGGGGGACTTTGACTATTTGTATTAGGAAAACTAAACATGTTTTGGAAAATCCCCAACTTCAGATTCTTTATTATATGCTAATGTGTCAGAAAAGTGTCATAGAATAATTATATCTGAAACGTGTGGCTGTATATACACACTTGAAAATGTGTAATATTCGTTGAAAAAAAAAATTTAATCTCCCTTTCTATTTAGGCTGCAGTACTGAAACATGGAACAATTGCAGCCCTTTTCATATACAACTAGTCAAAAAATATTGGTTGACATTGAACAACTTTTAATAAACTATTCTAATGGCTCCTTAAGATGTACTGCACAGTAGTATTAGAAGGTAACTTCTTGCATGTGTGCATTGTGTACTTCTTGAGGATTTAATGTTTTTGGGGTGTTAATCACCTGGTCTAAGTTAATATTTGTATATTTGCTTCAGTGCTAACAAATGTTATATAATTTTTATTTTCAACATACTAATTAAAAATGTAAATGTAATTTATTTTCAGTATGATCAGAAGAATATTCGACGGAGAGTTTATGATGCACTTAATGTTCTTATGGCAATGAACATAATTAGTAAAGAGAAAAAAGAAATAAGGTGGTTGGGTCTACCTACAAATTCAGCCCAGGAGTGCCGTAAATTAGAACAAGAGAGACATAAAAGAGTAGAACGCATTAAGCTCAAGACACAACAATTGCAAGATCTTATTTTACAAGTAAGATTTGATTAATGTTTTTTGTTCTTGGTGAAAATATTTGTGGTACAGTATCTACATATTAAAAATATTTTTGCTTTTGTGAAGAAGGGCAATGTTATAGAAAGTCCTCTTAGGTAAAGGAAAGTGCAAAATGAATGTGATTGGTAAAGTACTGGAAGTGGTCATTTTTAAATAGGATGTGTGAATGTTAGAATGGAAATTTGTGCTGACAAAGTTGAGTGTTAAGTAAGTTTGGGGAGGAAAGTGACTTGCAATAAAACCCTGCTTTGAAAAACAGAGGACTAGATATGGCCAGAGTACTGCATGAAGGAGTGGCAGTGCCAGCTTGTATGTTTGGTTCAATATAATGATTTGAACGCATTAAGTCAAAAGATAGAGGAGCAGAAATGGATAATATAAGAAGAATGTTAGGAGTAAAGAGAAAGTGAAGAATGAAAATGTCATAGAGATGTGAAGTTCTAAAGTTAGTTATCTGCAAGAGTGATGAAAGTATACAGAGATGGTTTAGAGATACTAAATTAATAGATGATAGTAGGCTGGTGAAGACAGGGAATTTGAAAATAGGATAAGATGAAAGCTAGGAAGTAGGTGGGTGACATGCTAGGTGAGTGACAGGAAGTGTCTCGTGTACTCTTTGTAAGCAGGTTAGTAAGCACATGTGTTTGTATATGTCAATTCACGAGAGCACTGTGCACCTGGTTTTATGAAGCTGAGGATGGCTGTTGATGTGTGGTGGGTCTTCTCTCAACATTATGTATATTATGAATGATATAATGAATGGAAAAGTGATATATTTATTTATTTAGTTTTAATGTAACCTGTATTTCGTATTACTATTTATAATGTGCCATTACCTTGTGAAAGAAGGAAGCTGGGGTATTGATAAAGTATGCGAATATACAGTAAATGAAAACTGCAAATTATTTTCTTAAATAACTGTTTTCCTTGTGTAATTTGATATGAATCCAAACCAAATTGTGAACAGCATTATTCAATATCTAAATTAACTTTTAAATGGCGCAAAACATACAAATACGATTTGACATAACATCATTTTTTAAAACTTGCACAAACACTTTCCAGTTTGTTGTGCATAATCAACTCGGCACATGTTCCAACTTTGTCCCTTGACCACCAACATAACTTGAAAACCAGAAAATCAAAAATACTTTTAAAATTGAATATTGAACACTTCAGATTTTCAAATCAAATTAAAAAATATCAACTATCACCAATTGTTCATTGGAGTTATTATGCTCTCAGAATAGCATATGATCTTCATTTTCAAAAAATTAGAATATAGGTTTTCAGTATACTTTACTGTATTAAAAATCGTCAATATGGCATTTGAAATATGGTGCAAATTTAGACAAAAAAATGTATAACTCCAAACGTTTAGGGTTTATGAAAAATCCATTCTCAAGGGATTGTAGAACAGACAGCTGAGCACACAATATCATGTCAAAATGGTAAGACTCGGTCAGAAACTGGAATTCTAGAAGCTACTCTTAAAGTAGAAACCCTAATTTTAGAGATAATTGAAGTTGAAGTTATCAACAATGAATAAAAGTACAGTGGGGCTTCGACTTACAATGGTAATCCGTTCAGAGACGGATTGTAAGGCGAAATATCGTAAGTTGAAACGATTTTTCCCATAAGAAATAAAGGGAATTGAATTAATCCATTCCCCACCCTCCAAAATATTAACTTACAAATACATTTTATACCGAATACAATGTTTTTTCTAACTACAATACATTGCATATGTTTATCTTACCTTTATGGAGGACTCATGATGTGTATGGAAGATGGCAAGGAGGGGGAGGAGGAGAGGTGTTACTATTTGGAAGGGGAGTCCCCCTTCCATTATAACATCAGGCAGTGATGACATCTCTGGGGTATACTCTCACCTATGTTTTGCCTGCATACCACAAGGACCTGGTTGTGATTCACTGCTTGTTTCTCTCACTAAAAACGTTTCCAGAGACTTGTTTTTCCATGTGTTTTAATTTTTGTCGGTAGCGAGGCATCACACTGTCATTAAAAAGGTTAAGGCAACGGCCTACTGCACCGTGATTTGGGTGAGTCGTTTCAGCAAAAGTTTGCAATTCTTCCATGCTGCACACATTTTCTTACTTAGTGAGGAAGGGACATTCTGTATTGTCTCCTCCTTCCCTGAAGAAATTTCCTCAGCTGTGTCTCGTTGCTGTTCCTTGTGAAGTTCTTCGGTGGTCAGTTCTTCGCTGTGTTTCTTCACCAGCTCGCAACACACAGCACTCAAAACACTATGAATGCCACTTTTTTCTAAATTTCCCAAACCATCCCCTGCTCTCCTCTCATTTGCATTACTCATTCCAGGGGGTTTCTTTAAAAGGTCTTCATACAATTTCCTTGCTTTATTACAAATGATAGCCTCTGAAGCTCTATCACCCACTAACTCCTTGCTGTGTATCCAAATTAATAATAACTGTTCAACATCCTCAAGTGTTTGTGTTCTATGTTTTGTGATTATTGATACACCTCTTGCCACTTTAGCACTCATAATGTCCTTTTTCTTAGCCAGTATGGTGGATATTGTTGACTGAGATTTGTTGTACTGCCTAGCTAGTTCAACAACCCGCACACCATCTTCATATTTAAGAATGATCTCTTGTTTTTGCTCTATGGTCATCCTTACGTGGGTTTTCATATGTTGAACCTTGCCACTGACTTTCCTGGGACTCATGGCATGATATATAATAATTACTTTTATGTTCAAAAAGCAAAAAATCACCACAAAAACGGAATTTCTTATAGGCGTGATCGTCACTAAGCGAGCAGCTGTAGTAAACTGAGGCAGGTCGGCCCACATGACCGGGAACCACGTGCTCGGTCGACCCAAACGTGTACCAACAAATATCGTTAGTCGACGACACCATCGTATGACGAGTCACATTTTTCGATCAAATTTACATCGTAACTCAAAATTATTGAAAGTCGGGGCAATCGTAAGTCAAGGTGCCCAGTAGTTCGAATTCGTTAATTTACTTGTATGTTTTAATATACATTGCTTGGCATTCGTACTCGAATACAGTATGTTAAAGTTGTAGGTCAATGTGTGTTGAAGTGAAGTCAAGAAAAAATAACCCCATGAAGAAACAAAATACAAAAAAAAAATCAATATATATACTCCCCCCCCCCCCAAATGAAAAAAATTTGGAATATCGATAAAAGTAACAGATATTACAATGTAATATTACAATGATATTACAACAGAGGTAATGTATTTATATGATATATAACAAAATGGAACATAATAACAGTTACTCATTATTATTTGTGTTATTATATATTACTCAGCAATGCTATAAAGGCACCAGCTGCATATCCACTTTGTGGACACTTCTTACTGCTATTTTTCTTTGCATCGGACAGGTGCTTTCATCTCCTATTACTGCAGTATCCTTCAGTTCCAGCTAATAGAAGCTGTTCTCCTTATCAACAAAACGTTTTTCGTTTTATAAAATTCATCTAAAATCAATTTCTGAAAATATTTTGATGAAAGTTTCACGACCTCTGAAGCCAATATGTTGGAGATTTAACATTTTCAAGTAATTTTTACATAATTCAAATATTTTTCACCTCTTTGACCCCTAAGGCTGTGCCGTTTAAGGGTTAAGTATTGAAGTGGCTGTTTTGCTTGATTGTAGGCATGTAAAAAAAAAAAAAAAAACAGGATCCTGTGTTGGAGCTGGTCACATCGCCTTGCCAGTGATCTTATAATAGGAACTTCAAGCAAGAAGTGTTTGTCTCACTTTTACGTTGACATTTCGGATAAAATTGAAGCTGTGATTGTATTTGGACTGTTTCATGACTGACATACTATATGCCACATGCAATGTTGTTCTAAATTTTACTTTTGTTTTTTCAGCAAATTGCATTCAAAAATTTGGTGGAGCGTAACCGGGCTGAAGAACGCATCCATGGAGCTCCCTCGCCAAATTCTGCCATCCAGCTTCCCTTCATCATTGTTAATACAAATAAAAAGACAATCATTGACTGTTCAATTTCTAATGACAAGTGAGTGGCCATGTTTTGGTAAATAATTTTGAAAAAATGGAATAATTATACAATGCAATACTGATACTGTTTTACCATTAGCCTGCAGCTGCCATTTTAAACAATGTGTCCATATTTTTTATTTTTTAATCATACTATTGTACCAATCTGGCATTTTAACAAAGCAATGCTTATATGTTAGTTTAGCTGCTGTCAGTGGCATGCAGCAGTGTTTGTTTATATTTAAACTGTGATACTATTTATGCTAATTACACAAGAATTACTGCCACATGATCAATCAGGCTGCAAGCAGCCACATACTCAGATCACAAGCTCATTGAAGTGCAAACGACCATCAATACTCATAATAGACTTAAAACGTTGATAAAGCGAGAGGGGCTATTCAGTAAATTCAATTTTAATAATAAAAGGATAGACTGGGAGATAATAAACAGGGAACTTACAAACATTCCATGGGAAACTGTTCTAAGTAATAAAAGTCCTATAGAAGGTATAGAAAAACTGACTTGGGAAGCGTATCAAGTCTGTCTGAAACATGTTCCTTTGAGGAAAGCCAGAAAGAGATCCAACGTAGAAAGAGAACGCAGATGACACTATAAACGCAGGAAAAAATAACAGAACTACTTATGCAGACACGAATTTCCCGTCAAAGAAGGAATAATTTAAATAGGGAGATTGAAGAAATCGAACGGAAATTGAAACACTCATATGAAACTGAAGAAAGGCAGTTAGAACAGAAAGCAATTAAGGAAATAAAGAAAAATCCAAAATACTTCTTCACATATGAGAAATCAAAAGCAAAACCAACTGCCAGTATTGGACCTATTCGTACAAGTGAAGGTTCATACACGGAGGATGACAAAGAAATTAGTGAAAACCTAAAAAAACAGTATGGGGACATGTTTAGCACTCCAATAAACAACATGAAAGTGGAAGATCCAGACAATTTCTTTATGCGGGATATTCAAACCCCTGTAAATATAACTGATATCAACACGCGCGCACTAAATTTTGAAAGAGAAATTGAAAACATGCCCATGCACTCGGCCCCAGGTCCAGACTCATGGAATTCAATATTTATAAAGAAATGCAAAGTGCCGGTAGCACAGGCACTCGGTATAGTGTGGAGGAAGAGCTTGGACACGGGAGAGATACCAGATGCACTTAAAGTAGCAGACATAGCCCCTCTACACAAGGGAGGGAGCAAAGCATTGGCAAAGAATTATAGACCAGTTGCACTAACATCGCACATAATAAAAGTATTTGAGAGAGTGATTAGGAGTTAGGTCACTAATTTCATGGAGACCCATGACCTTCACAACCCAGGCCAACATGGATTTCGAGCGGGAAGATCATGCCTCTCACAGCTACTTGAGCACTACGACAAAGTCACTGAGGCATTAGAATAAAAACAGAATGCTGATGTGATATACACGGACTTCGCAAAGGCTTTCGATAAATGTGACCATGGCGTGATAGCACACAAAATAAAGTCAATGGAAATAACTGGTAAAGTAGGACGCTGGATACTCAGTTTTCTGTCAAACAGGACTCAGCGAGTAATGGTCAACCATATAAAATCTAGTCCAAGTGCAGTTAAAAGCTCTGTACCTCAGGGTACAGTCCTTGCACCGCTGCTTTTCCTTATTCTCATATCAGATATAGACAAAAATACAAGTCACAGCTTTGTATCATCCTTTGCAGATGACACAAAAATCAGTATGAAAATTATCTCGGCTGAAGACATTGAAAAACTTCAAGCTGATATTAATTTAATAAAGTTTTTGACTGGGCATCAGAAAATAACATGATGTTTAACAGTGATAAATTCCAGGTACTCAGGTACGGTAAAAATGAGGACCTTAAACATAATACAGAGTACAAAATACAATCAAATGTACCCATAGTAGGAAAACAGCATGTAAAGGATTTGGGAATAATGTCTGACGACCTAATGTTTAAGGAGCATAACCAAGCAAATATTGCGACAGCCAGAAAAATGATAGAATGGATTACGAAAACTTTCAAATCCAGGGATCCCATCACAATGGTTGTACTCTTCAAGTCACTTGTGTTGTCCCGTCTTGAGTACTGCTCAGTACTCACTTCTCCCTTCAGAGCAGGAGAGATTGCTGAAATAGAGGGAATACAGAGAACATATACGGCACGCATAGACGCGATAAAGCACCTAAATTATTGGAATCATCTCAAAGCCCTCCAAATGTACTCACTAGAAAGAAGACGAGAGAGATATCAAATAATATACACCTGGAATATACTGGAGGGCCAAGTACCAAATCTACACAGTAAAATAACAACGTACTGGAGTGAGCGATATGGAAGAAAATGCAGAATAGAACCAGTGAAGAGCAGGGGTGCCATAGGCACAATCAGAGAACACTGTATAAACATCAGAGGTCCACGGTTGTTCAACACCCTCCCAGCAAGCATAAGAAATATTGCCGGAACAACCGTGGACATTTTCAAGAGGAAACTAGATTTATTCCTCCAAGGAGTGCAGGACCAACCGGGCTGTGGTGGGTATGTGGCCCTGCGGGCCGCTCCAAGCAACAGCCTAGTGGACCAAACTCTCACAAGTCAAGCCTGGCCTCGGGCAGGGCTTGGGGAGTAGCCTGGTATCAACTTGCCTGATACCAGGCTGGTATCGCCCTTGCCTGGTTGATACCAGGCAAGGGCGATGACCTGTGAGGCCGCAGCATGTATGTTGCTCACCCAATACAGGACACGCTCGCTGTATTGTCCGCATCTATGTCTGTATCACTTGTGTTGGGTCTTTATCGTGCATTGATTCTTCAACATCACTACAGTTCTCTTCTTCAAACAATGTCTGAATTTTCCCTTCAGACAACAATATTTCAACAACACATCAGACGGGACAGGGAGCTGAAAGCGCGTGCGTCAGCCATGGTTGTTAGATCAGAACTGTGTCTGCCCTCAGCCGTGGGGCATGCTGGGAATTTTTTTCAAGATGGCTGCCGCTCACTGAAGGCTTCAGACCTCCCTCTTGTACCCAACCCACCAAGAGCGTGTTTTGAATCCTACAATATCCTATGAACGTTTACGTAACCTAACTTCGGGTTCTCCAGATTTTTGTCCTGATTTGGTGAAGTTTTGCTAGAAAATTATCCAGACCTGACTTAACACTATGCCAGTTTGCACCATCCAGCCAAACCTTCAGTTATTGGAATCCCGATAAGCGAGCTCGTACAGTTATCTCATAATCCATGCACAGCACAACACCACACACTAGTCAGTTGCCTTCTGCACCTGACATAATGTGCCTCCCGATATACTATGCACATTGTTAATAAGCCACAATAGTGATATCATTATCAGAATCCTGGACGCTAAAGCCTGGATATGAATAATTTTCCACAAGTTCATTTTGTCATGGAACACGAGGTCCCATATCATAATGCTTAGATGCACCAAACTGCGGCTGTGTGCTGTGGACGACTGCCTCGTGCTGATCATGGTAACCAGCATTGGGTTCACAGATATCTGAACCATGTACAGTATGAAGTCTTTTATCAGTCAGGATCTTTGATGACATCATTATAAAGTAATCACAGGTACTTATTTAATTATTGATGCTGTGATGCTATGGGCAGAAGCAGCATGGCAGTGCTGCAAGCTGCTGCTGCTGCATGTGCTAGTCATGGTGTGTGTGTGTCTGTACTGAAGGTCTAACACCCAGGAGGGGTGCCCATGATTGTTTTCCAAGATCTGTTTAGGTCTGTTGGTTTGTTTAGTGGAGGCCTGTGGATGCATATGTGAGCCACGTGTACGATGTACTCACAGGAGTTTTAAATCTTACGTGGTGCATCCCTCAGTGTCCTTATTCATAATGGCAAGAACATCCCTAATTGTCACACACACATCTGAAGGGTTAATAGCTGTTAGTTGAAATTTTAATGACTTGCCCATTTTTCTTTGCAGAACTGAATATCTTTTCAACTTTGATGACACGTTTGAAATCCATGATGACATTGAAGTTTTGAAACGAATGGGCATGGCTTTAGGTTAGTAGTTTTATTGTATGTTTTTTCACTAATTGTATTTCTTGTATACTAATTTGTATTTTTTATATATTTTTTGTTGGAATTTATTTTTTATATAGTTATAGCCTTCTTGAAATTACAAAAAAAGTTTCCCTGTATGTTTACTTAACACTTTGACAGTATTCTCACTTTTTTATTTTTCTCCTGCTAGGACTTGAGAAAGCTCAGTGTTCACGTACAGATCTCGAGAGAGCCAAGTCTATGGTGCCAAGAGCTCTAGAAAGTTATGTCATAGGTAAGTGTGCTTTATATTTTAATAAAAACAATTTTGTGTTACTGTGTACAGTACAGGCGAGTCTCATTTAATGCTGGGGTTTGGTTCCTGAAAGCTGTGACTTTTAGCCAAAATGATCTTGAGACCAAAAACCCTATTGGCCTAGTGTTAGGACCAATTGTTAAGGGTTACGTTCCTAAGCCATCTAGAATAATGATGATTGGTAATATTTGGGTGTCCCCAGTGATACCTAACTAGCACTTTTAGCTTAGTTTATAACAATATTGTCTTTCTTTGTTTCCTTGGATTAGGATTACTACCCATTATGGCCATTTACCCATCGTGATGCCTTGTTCAAAACATTTTTCTCGGGGAGCTCCGTCGGCCCCCTGAAGCTATCTGAACCGATATGTGCTATATTAGTTTGGGGTCATCTTATGTTCTTATGCCTACCAGGAACCAGCACCAGAACCTGGTCCCCGCAGAGAGGCGCAGGAAATAATAACGTACGACCACTTTACATTTAAAGTGCTGTATGTCATATTCCACCATCAATTGGGGTGGGAACCCAGAAAGCTAGGCGAGCCATTACAAACAACTAGCCAGTAAAATGCTACCTACAGCCAGAAAGAGCGAAGAAACTCCTGCTAAAAGAAAAGAAAAATATCAGAAAATAACCGAATCTGGCAGTCTTGCCCTCAACTAGTACTCCCGCTCGTTAGCGTATTCCTTCCCCCCCTCCCCTAATAGGGGGATAGGAGGAGCCCAGCTCACCTGAGTGGATGCTTGCCACCTCAGCTCTCGTCTGGTGTGCTTGGCAGTTGGAAGTCGCCTCAGTTTCCTGTTCTGGATCTGTGGCTTTGCCGTCGGGGGTCAATGACTTTCCATCGTGCCCTGGGTAGGGGAGTGTTATTGGCTGGGGGGGTGGAGCATGCTGTGTCTGGTGCAGTCTGCTAATACAGACAGCCACTTGGTTTGCGAACTTAAGATATCTGAAGTTCCAGTTTCCCGATTTGGGTTGGGTTGTAATGTTACTCGAACTAAGTTTGGGTGAGGAAGCGGTCCGCCCAGCCTTGCGCAGACCGGGGTTGGGGATTCACACTACACAAATTTATTTCATGTTTGCCCACTGATCATGTCGAGCACCACCACTCTAGAATGCCTTCTACCCTGTGACGTCACATATTCACGGCCTATTGTTCCCATTGTTTTGATTTGTCACGAGGTTGTAGTGTTCATTCCGTGACTTTGTTTTACATATCTGCATAATCAAAGAACATCCGTGCACCATGTCGGCTCCAAATGCACGCATTGTGTCAGTGAAAGCATCAATAAGTGGAATACGTAAAAGGAAGAGGTAAGTGATGACATTTGAGAAGAAAGTTTAAATAATTAAGGTGGAGAGCGGTGTCCTGAGGAGTGTTGTGTGCGCTGAATTTGGCATTAGCAAAAGTGCTGTTTTTGATCTTCCTAAGGCTAAGCCTATAATTTTTTTTACTATTTTTCTAGAAGTGAAAGTGATAAGACAATACGAAATAGAAACGTAGTAAGTAAAGCAAATGTGGAGAGTGATGATAATGCAGTGTGGGAGTGGTACAAACAGAAGCATGAGGTGACGAAGAAGCCAGTGGCAGGCTGGCTGCTCGTAGAAAAGGCATGTGAATTTCACCAAGCAATGAAAATTACTCGAGATGTGTATACAGTGATGGATGTATAGAAGCTTTTAAACTCATCAAGGCATTAGGTTTATTAAAGTACATGGTGAAAAACAATCTGCTGATGAGTATTAAAGTAAATTTGCGAAGATGGTGCAGACACACAATTTATTCCCAGAGCAAATTTATAATGCTGACGAGACAGGTTTATACTGATGTATGTTACCCACAGACACGATGGCTCATAGTGCTGAGGACGATCCTTCAGGTGGTTATAAGCAGAACAGAGAATTTGTTTGTTGTGCTGTGCAAATGCAGCTGGCACACACAAATTGAAATGACTTGTGATTGGAAATAGCAAAAACCCCAGGGCTTTAAAGTCAGCTAGGTACCTCCCTGTGATTTATAAGAACCAGTCAAGTGGGTGGATGTCTCGGGTAATATTTGCCGAGTGGTTTAATAAGAACTTTGTACCCGAGGTGAAGGAGCACCTGAAAAATGTTGGCCTCTCGCAAAACATCAAAGTTGCGCTGCAACTAGATAACAGTTCAACACATCCACAAGGTGATGAGCTAGTAAATGGCAATATCATTGGAACGTTCATACTACCCAATAAAACTTCACTGATCCAACCCATGGATCAGGGAATAATTAAGAACCTTAAACACCACTACAAGAGGATGTTTGCCAGACGTCTTAATAATCAGCTAGGAACAATTAACACTTTCGCACACCCCGCGCGCCACCCCTCGACAGGGCGATATGGGCCCCAGCGTGTCACGGAAGCACACGTCAATTCCGAAAAGTGTATACTCTCTTCAACTTTGTCACCTCAATTTTCGTTCTACGAGATTAAATTTGGTATCATTGTGTTCGCAATAAAATTCTCTACAGCACTAAATGCATATAAACTCCAAAAGCCCGGCTAATTACCCGCAGCAAGCAGAGAAAGTGCGAATGAGTTACCCGGGAGCGCGCAAACGCGATAAAATGTTTTCACTATTTTCACTCTGGTCACCTCAATTTTCGTCCTAGGTCTTTCATTTTGGTCTCAATGGGTTCGTAATAGAATTCTCTAGAGGAATATTAGCATATAAAATAAAAAACCTGGTCACGCTCCAACCACCGACGAGTTGAAGACGGGCCACGCGTTAGCCGTGAGTGAGCGCTCAGATGCCTTCCCGCTACACTCCCAATTCGCGCCCACATATGTTTAGTATTATTTCCTGGTGGTAATCTCCATTTTCGTGTTACAGCGCTCATTTAGGTATGAAAATGTTCCTAATAGAATTCTTCAGATGGATATGTGCATATAAGGGCCAATTGAAGAACAACATTGCCTGTACAATACGGGAAAGAATGAACAAAAAAAAATAAATAAATAAATAATAAAATAATTTGCACTTACCACCTCAGTGTTGTGTGTTGAACATGACATGGGTTGAACATTTGTTTTATCCACTCCACCTGCTCCTGGAAAACGTTTCCTGCAGGGTCAACCCATGTTTTGTATAGGTGGAGTGGATGGTGGGAGTTAGTCTCACATGCTTGTACTTCTCCTGTACACTACTCAGCTTCTGCTTTTCACACCTTTCTTTCGCAATTTTCTTCCTGGAAGAGCCTTGTTCATGATCACTATCCATCGTGGAGTAAGCGTAGATAGTTTCTGAAGCCGCAGTAAGAAATATAGCCACGGAAAATAGCCGAAATGTTCACACGTTTGAGACGCGAGGGGAGGCGACACCGGTCACAACAGTGGAGCGAAAACAATGGGCCGACGGCGTGTGCTGCGCCGCCTGCGGGCCACTAGGCGCAACAAAGAAAATGGGTAGACATCGGCGCGCATTTTAAAACCAGTCCCAAAAAAAATCGGATAAAAACCTGATTTTTGGCTAATTTTTAAAGTGGATGACGCAATGCTGCGTCATCCCCGGCATTACCGCCAGTAAACGGATAACGCAATGCTGCGTCATCCCCGAGCGAGTGTTAAGGACTTCTATAAAGTCTAAAGTGGAGCCGGTCAGCCGAGTGGACAGCACGCTGGACTTGTGATCCTGTGGTCCTGGGTTCAATCCCAGGCGCCGGCGAGAAACAATGGGCAGAGTTTCTTTCACCCTATGCCCCTGTTACCTAGCAGTAAAATAGGTACCCGGGTGTTAGTCAGCTGTCACGGGCTGCTTCCTGGGGGTGGAGGCCTGGTCGAGGACCGGGCCGCGGGGACACTAAAGCCCCGAAATCATCTCAAGATAACCTCTTCACAATAGTCAGCTATTTGGACTATTGCTAGTGCATGGGATGAGGTACAGCAAACACGAAGAAATGGTTTGAAAAAACTTTGGTCCACGTCAAGTCTGTTTCCTGAGGAAGATGACGAGGCAGATTTGGAGGATTTGCGGCGAAGAAAGATAGTGAGAGGAAGAAATTAACCCTTGGACCACGCAATACATACATATATGATTTGACATAAAAAAATGTAACATAAGTTTTTAAAACTTGCACAAACACTTTCCAATTTTTTTTTGCATTATCAACTAGGCAAATGCTCCAACTTTGTCTAAATGATCACAGAGTAACTTGAAAAAAAAGAAAATCAAAATTAATTTAAAAATTGAATATTGAAAATTTCAGATTTTCAATTCAGAATAAAAAATATGAATTATCACCAATTGTTCATTTAATGTTATTATTCTGTCAGAATAGCATATGATTTTCATTTTCATCAAATTAGAATATAGGTTTTCAGTATAGTTTACTGTAAAAAAAATCATCAATAGGGCATTTGACATATTCGGCATATTTAGACCAAAAAAAATTATAACGCCATATGTATAAAGTTTATGAAAAATCCATTCTGAAGGAATTGTAGAACAGACAGTTCGGCACACAATATGTCAAAATAGTGAGAATCGATCAAAAACTGGAATTTTAAGAGCCACTCAAAGTTGAAACTCTAGTTTCAGAGATAATTGAAGTTGAAGTTATTAACAATGAATAAAGGTAGTTTTAATTCATAGTTTAGTAGTTTTAATTTTAGGTAGTTTTAATTTTTAATTAATTAAATTGTATGATTTAATAAACATTGTTTGGCATTCATACTCAAATATGTGAAAGTTGTAGGTCAATATGTGTTGAAATGAAGTCAAGAAAAAATAATCCACAAAAAAAAAACACAAAATATAGGGGTTATAATAATTATAATGATTTAGAGGATATATTTAGGGTATAAAGTAAAAAAGCCCTAATATGGTCTCTAATCATCAAGGCAACCTAAAGAGACAAAGAAAATAGAGTTTGAAATCAGAGAAAAAATCAGTAAACAAAAATTCAAAGTCCCAAGTTTTGCGAGTTGTGACTGATTTATTTGTT